TATCAAATTACTCATTAAATTATTAAAAGAGATATCCATGTACCATGAAAATAAGTTTAACATACAATAATAAAAATGTATAATGTTAGTATTTATTTTTTAATCAACATGAAAGGGCTTAAACTTCAGTATATAGCATTTATCGGAAAACCCAATCTTTTGTAGAAGTTAGCCACATATTTTAATAAATTAGAAAATACAGTACTTTTCTTTTAATGCATAGATGCATCCAACACAAATATATGATGAAGATCAAAGATGTCTCACACCTTTTTGTCCCAATTTCTCTAGAATATAGAGATTTCATAGGGTTTAGTTCTTTGATTTATGTGGTATATGGAGTTTTATTAAATTACTCCTTCGAAAATTATAACTGATGTCCATGTACTATGAAAATAAATTAAGGATACATTAGTATAAATTTTTAATGTTGTTAAATATTTTAAACAACACTAAGGAGGTTCAACTTAAGTAAAAATAACATTTATTGAAAAACCTCGATTTTTCGTAGGGGTTTATCCAAAGATTTCAAGATAAATTAGAAAATATTGAATTTTTTTATTTATGCATATCTGCATCCAATATTGATATATGATGAATATCAAAGAGTTCTGATATCTTAGAAAATATTGTCCAAGTTTCTCTATAAAGTAGAGATTTCATAAGGTTTAATTCACTGATTCTCGTAGTACATGGAGTTTTATTAAATTCCTTGGTTAAAAATTAGAAATGATGCTCATTTACCTTGAATATAAGTTTAGTACATTAATATATATTTTTTGAATGTGGTTAGGTATTTTTTTTAAATAAAACTAAAGAGGCTAAATTTTAGTATATATAACATTTATTGGAAAACTCAATTTTTTCTAGGGATTAACCCAAATATTTCAATACAAATTAAAAAATAAGATATTTTATTTTAATGCAAATCTCCACCATGCAGTGACATGACATAGTATGGAGATTAAAGAGGTTTTAGACTTTAGGTGTTCATGTTTCTTTAGAAAATAGAGATTTTATAAGAATTAGTCCACTAATTAGGACGTATCTGAATCTTTTTTAAAAATAACTCGTTGGAAAATTAGAAATGATGTCCAGGTACCATGTAAATATGTTTAGCATACATGAATATAAATTTAGAGTGTGGTTAAGTATTTTTAAAACAACATTAATGAGACCAAAATTTAGAATATATAGCATTTATTAGAAAAAATGGATATTTTTGTAATATAATTTAGAAAATATGGTATTTAATTTTAATGCATAATTTCATCATGAACTGACATATAAGGAAAATTAAAGAGGTTTGGGACCTTATTTGTCATTGTTTCCATAGAAATTACAGATTTTATAGGAGCTAGTTAACAAAATTAGGTAGAATATGAATTTTTATTAAAATATTCATTAAAATATTAGAAACAATGTTCATGTACCATGATAATAAGTTTAACATACATTAATAAAAATATATTATGTGATTAGTATTTTTTAATCAACATGAAAGAACTTAAACTTTAGTATATAGTATTAAATGGAAAACTTGATCTTTTCGTAGGGAGACCCATAGATTTGAAGATAAATTATAAAATACAATACTTTTATTTTAATGTATAGATGCATCCAGAACAAATATATGATGAAGATCAATAATTTATGACACCTTTGTTGTCCCAATTTCTCTAGAATGTAGAGATTTCACACGGTTTAGTTATTTGATTTACGTGAATTATGAAGCTTTATTAAATTACTTGTTGAAAAATTATAACTGATATCTATGTACCATGAAAATAAGTTTAAGATACATTAGTATAAATTTTAAATGTGGTTAGATATTTTAAACAACACTATGATGCTTAATACAAATAGCATTTATCAGGAAAACTCAATTTTTTTGTACAGGTTAACCCACAGTTTCAAGCAAAATTAGAAAATATTGAATATTTGTATCTATGCTTAGTTGGATCCAACACTGATATAAGATGAATATCAAATTGTTTTGATACCTTAGTTGTCTAAATTTATTTAGATAATAGAGATGTTATAGGGTTTAGTTTATTGTTTTTGGTGATATATGGAGTTTTTATTAAATTCCTCTCTTGAAAATTAGAGCTGATGCTCATGTATCATCAACATAAGTTTTGTACATTAATATCAGTTTCGAATATGGTTAGGTATTTTTAAACAAAACTAAAGAGTCTTCTATATAACATATATCAGAAAATTCTATTTTTTTTGTAGAAATTAACTCACATATTTCAAGATAAGTTAGAAAATATGATATTTTATTTTAGTGAATTGCTGTATCATCCACTGACATAATATTCAGAATAAAGAGGGTTGAGATTTTAGGTGTTCCCGTTTCTCCAGAAAATCGAGTTTTGATAGGGGTTAGTCCACTTATTAGATGATATATGAACTATAAATAAATTACTCATTGGAAAATTAGAAATGATATCCATGCACTATGAAAATAAGTTTAGCATACATATACATAAATTTGGAGTGTGGTTAGGTATTTTAAACAACACTAAAGAAACTAAGTAATATAGATAGTATTTATCGGAAAATTCACTCTTTTCGTAGGGATTAATCCAAATATTTCAAGATAAATTAGAAAATATGAAAATTTTCTTTTAATCCATAGCTTCATCATGAACTGATATAATATGAAGATTTAAGATGTTTGAGACTTTGGGTGTTCCCATTTCACTATAAAATAGAGATTTTATAGGCGTTAGTACACTAATTAACCCACAGATTTCAAGATAAACTAGAACAATATAGGTGTTTTATTTATTTATTCATAGCTGCATCCAGAACCAATATATGATGAATATCAAAAAGTTTTAATACCTTAGTTTTCAAAAGTTCTCTAGAAAACAAAGATTTCATAGGGTTTAGTTTATTGATTTTGGTGGTATATGAAGTTTTATTAAATTCTTTGGTTGTAAATTAAAACGGATGTCCAAATACCATAAACATAAGTTTAATATATTAATATAAATTTTGATTGTGGTTAGATATTTTTAAACTTAACTAAAGAGTCCTATATATAACATATATCAGAAAATTCTATTTTTTTGTAGGGTTAATATACATATTTCAAAATAAATAAGAAAATATGGTATTTAATTTTAAATAATGTTGCATCATTCATTGACATAATATGAAGAATAAATAGGTTTACCTTAGGTGTTCCCATTTTTCTAAAAAATAGAGTTTTTATAATGGTTAGTTCATATATTGTGGTATATGACATTTAAATAAATTTATCTTTGTAAAATTAGATATAATGACCATGTACCATTAAATAAGTTTGGCATAGATATATATATATATATATATATATATATATATAAATTTGGAGTGTGTTTAAGTATTTTTAAATTGCAATGAAGAGGCTAAATAGTATAGATAGTATTTATAAAAAAATTCAATATTTTCGTAGGGTTAACGCACATATTTTAAAATAAATTAAAAAATATGATCTTTTATTTTAATGCATAGTTGCATCATGCACTGAAATAATATTAAGATTAAAGAGGTTTGAGACCTTAGGTGTTCCCTTTTTCTAGAAAATATTGATTTTATAGGGGTTATTACACTAATTAGGTCGTATATGAAATTTTAAAAAATTACTCGTTGTAAAATTATAAATGATGTCATGTACCATGAAAACCTTTTGATATTCATCATATATTGGTTCTGGATGCAGCTATGAATAAATAAAAAAAATCTATATTTTTCTAATTTATCTTGAAATTTGTGGGTTAATTACTGTACTAACCCCTATAAAATTTCTATTTTATAGTGAAATGGGAACACCAAAAATCTTAAACATCTTAAATTTTCATATTATGTCATGATTAAGCTATGCATTAAAAGAAAATTTTCATATTTTCATGGTATATGACATCATTCATATTAATCATTATAATTTAGTTTATTAGTTTAGTAAATGATTAGGTTTAAATATTTTTGCTTCTTTTAATTAATTTTAAATATATTAAATTGTATTATAATTTCAAATAACTTACAAAATAATAATAAGTTATATATATATATATATTTAAATTAGTATTGGCATATTATATTAAATTATAATCTGAAATTGTAAAACCAATATAAAATTTAAGTAGCATCTATAAATGAATATATACTTGTAATTTACATTGTACACATGTTACAAGGATTTCGTTGAAGAAAATATAAATTATACAATATGGTATATTTATTTTTATAACATGAGTTTCCGTGCAACATTGCACATGTTCTTTGCCTAATCTAAATAAAACCAAATTTTAGAAAGTCTAGTATAAGTCATAATCTTAGCTTAACAGTTGATTAGCGGATAAATACTAAAGTAAATGGGTTTTGTGGCCCTTGTAAGCCCAATCCAACATCTTGTATTTTTAAGAGAATGTTAGTTTTAGTCCATTATGATATATCTTGTTGTATGTATGGAATTATTCTCTTGTAAATTAGATCATAAGAGAGGAATCATTGGATTATGTAAAATTTGTTTAAAACAATAAATCAATTATTTACGAAATACCAAAAAATAATATGTGATAAGAGTAATCTAAGTTACTAAAAGAGTTTAGGACTTTCTCTAAAAACTAATTCCCTTGATAGGTATCTAATTAAAAATATTATATTAATAAGTTGTATACTTTTCAGAAATAACACTCAAATATTTAAATCAATTAATATTTTTAAATGATAATTACTAGAATATATATAATGCAGAATATCAAAGTTGTAATATGCATGAATACTTTTAAAAATACAGTTTTAGAAAAGAGAGAATATCTAATCAACTAGATTTAACAAATTAAAAAAAAGTCAGTATTAGTATTTGGTGGGGAAAATAATGAAAAGCAGACAGGACCTAGGCCAAGTCAGGACCCAGACAATTAAAGTGGGCTAACACAAAATATAATTCCAACATTATTTTATTCATTTATTTATATCCGAATATGAATTAATAATTCAAAAAGTCATACTTTCCTTTGTTCTATCTTGTTAAAGCTATCTCTCTTCTCCTCCTCCATCTCCTTTTCCAGATCTTCATCTTCCTCACAAAAACACACTTATCAAACCTCTCTTCTATTTAACCCTAACCACTTAAAAATAACAAAAGCGTTTTCACATGGATGATCACCGCCAAACTCGTGTCTCCGATGCTCACATAGACAACTACTTCCTCAACCACTCTACATCCACCGACAACAACGCCTCCGCGATGGAAGCTTTGGTCGGAACAAATCACTGGTCACAACAATCTCACATACCTTCTCAGTTCAACGAAGACACTCTCCAGCAACGTCTCCAAACCCTAATCGAATCCGCAGGCGAAAAATGGACGTACGCGATCTTCTGGCAGATCTCACACGACTTCGACACTCCCACGGGAGAAAGCACGGTGATCCTCGGGTGGGGAGACGGTTACTACAGAGGAGAAGAAGACAAAGAAAAGAAGAAAACAAACTCAAATTCGAATCCTACGGAGCAGGAGCATCGGAAAAGAGTGATCCGGGAGCTTAACTCGTTAATCTCCGGCGTGGTCTCCGACGAGGCTAACGACGAGGAAGTTACGGATACGGAGTGGTTCTTTTTGGTCTCGATGACGCAAAGCTTCGTGAACGGTGTTGGACTCCCCGGGGAGTCTTTTTTAAACTCCCGCGTGATTTGGTTATCCGGGTCGGGTGCGTTAACCGGGTCGGGTTGTGAGCGTGCGAGGCAAGGGGAGGTTTACGGGTTACGGACGATAGTGTGTGTGGCGGCTGAAAACGGCGTCGTTGAGATTGGCTCTTCGGAGGTTATAAGTCAAAGCTCAGATCTGGTGGAGAAAGTCAACGGTCTTTTCAACGGGAACTGTGGTGGGGAAGGTTCTTCTTGGGGGTTTGGTCTGAATCCTGATCAGGGGGAGAATGATCCGGGTTTGTGGATTACTGAACCGAACTTAACCGGAATCGAACCGGTTCAGGAGATGGTACCGGTTGTTGCGGAGCGTGATTTGAACTTCTCGAGCTCAGGTTTGAATCAAGGCGGGAACGTTAAAGAAGGGTCGATGCTATCTTTCAGCAACGTGGTTCGATCCGCGGGGAAGTCAGGGGACTCTGAACATTCTGATATCGAAGCTTCGGTGGTTAAGGAGGCGATTATTGTTGAACCGGAGAAGAAACCGAGGAAACGCGGGAGGAAACCGGCTAACGGGAGAGAAGAGCCGTTGAACCATGTGGAAGCTGAGAGGCAGAGAAGAGAGAAGTTGAACCAGAGATTCTACTCTTTGAGAGCTGTGGTTCCAAATGTGTCGAAAATGGACAAGGCTTCTCTTCTTGGAGACGCTATTTCTTATATCAACGAGCTGAAAACGAAGCTGCAGCAAGTGGAGACGGATAAAGAAGAGGTACAGAGGCAGTTAGATGGGATGAGTAAGGAAGTAGGCGGGTCTAAGAGGGCGAAAGAGCGAAAATCGTCGGGTAGTTGTGTAGAGATGGAGATTGATGTGAAGATTATAGGTTGGGATGTGATGATACGAGTACAATGTAGCAAGAAGAATCATCCTGGTGCGAGGTTTATGGAAGCGCTTAAGGAGTTGGATTTGGAAGTGAATCATGCTAGTTTATCTGTGGTGAATGATTTGATGATTCAACAAGCTACTGTGAAGATGGGAAGTCAGTTTTTCAATCATGATCAGCTCAAGGCTGCTTTGATGTCTAAAGTTGGAGAAGACGGTTGAAACAAAGTCATTATGATGAGCTCTTTGCAAATTAGTGAGTATTCATTTTGCATCACCAGCTTTCATGTTGTTAACTTTGTTGTTCAATAGGAGAAACATGTTTAGCTCTTTAGTTTAGTGGTTTCATAAGTCTTAATGCGAGATCGAAGTTGGAGACCAGTGAGAGAGGTTAGTAATATAAGAAATCTTGTGTTGTACTTGTTTGTATATATGTATGGAATAATTATTGAGATAGTTTCTATTGAAGTGTATTCGGTTCTGTGGATGAAGGTTTTGTGTACATTTTTATGTTATGAAAACTTTTTGATTAGATTATAGACCATAACGGTCCAACTTTATGGGTTGTAACGTAACAAAAAGAATAGGCAAAATTGGTCTGGAAGGTGGGATATGAGGAAACTGTTTATAGTGCCCAAAATGTGGAAACATGTGTCATGTGTTTGGATATGTATGTCTATGACTCTATGTATATCTAACAATTATTAAAATAAAAAACAATGATTTAGAGGGCAGGTAGTTCAAAGTTCAAAGCTACGGGTAAGAACCTTTTAGTCTCTGTCTTATGTGTGTTTGAGTATATCTCTATGCTGAGAGAGCCGTGTGATCTATCTCTCTTTGACTCTTATGTCTATTAGAAAAGCGTAAACACTGATTTGTAATTCACTAAAACATGGGGGATATTAAGTGTTAAACACAAAGCTTAAAGTGAGGTTTGTATCTTATTGTAATAACCCAAGTGTTAAAGACAAAGCTTAAATTTAGTGTTGACATCATGTCATAACCCAAGTTTTGTGCGAGTGTGAGTTGTACTGTCAGGCATTTTATTGAGCTTTCAACAAACACGAAGAGCATTATTCATAGTATTAAAGTAAGAAGATGGCTAGAAACCTACTTTTCTCCATCATTGATGAGTTCAAATAAAGCTGTGCCAGCTTTAAAAAAAAATTGTCAATCAAGTAGCCAGAAAATTCATTTAGTACCATCAAGTTGACCCCTTTCTTAAGGATATTAATCAGTAGCCATCTTTCAATCTATCCTGGCTATGTATACTAAATAATCCACTCGTTCGTTCACACTACAAATTGTTACTAAAATATGACAACAACTATTGTTAATTAATTCTTATAAAACCTGTCTTCCATTAGCCCACGACCAAAGGCATAAACTTTCTCGAATCAACATATTAGTTGTTTAATTAACCTGTAAGCTAATGTAACTATTTAATTTTACGTAAAATTCAAGTATATATTTCAACCATTTTAGATTAGTTTTCTTTGTTAGTCTTTACAATAATAAGATCATCATTATTCCATTTTTTTTTTTTTTGAGAAAGGGCTTATTATTCCATGTTTTTAGTAGGTTGTTTAGCCACTTTTTATGTGTGGGTTACATCAAAAACACAAGTAACCATCCAAATATGTTAAAATAAGTAACTGATTTGGAGTGTTGCTTGCGCTGTTCGCGGGTCTCACTAACATGTAGCAATCCATAATTGATTATTTTTTTAATTTTTTTTTAAAACCAGAATTTTTTTCTTAAACAATCCATTTTTGGTTTACTGGGATGATGTTACTCTAAAGTCGTTAACGAAATAAACCAACTCTTTCTTCTCATGAACATATTATATTTTAACAGAGTTCAATCTCTCTGAACTTAAGAAAAACATATTGTTTTGATCATGTTGCTGGAACAATAGGTCATAGAATTGAATCCTAGGATCCATGAAAGATTGGATGATTATGACGTCTTTATTTGCATTAGTAATTAAAGTGATAGCGATTTTAACACATTAGTCTAAGTGGTTCGATTGGTGCGAACCCGAGCAATGGACCACTCCAACCCGAACAACAAAACTTGTGAGGAACAGTGGAATAAATAGGAATTGAAGTTTTGAGAATATAAGTTGCACTAGGGCTGGGCAAATAAACCGAACCCGAAAATCCGAACCGAACCCGATCCGATAAAAATGAATCCGAACCGATCCGAACCCGACTTAAATACCGAATAGATCTTGTTTTATGGTATTTCGGATTATGGGTATTATCCGAACCGAACCCGAAGTTAAATGGATATCCGATAAAACCCGAAACATTCAATTTTTTAATAAGAACGTTTACCGAATATGATCTTAATTCCTAATATATATCCAAAATACTTTAAGATATTACTAAACATCTAAAATCATTATCTATTACATGAAGGTTGGTGGTTGAAAGTGGCTGTTGAAACTTGAAAATTTTAGATTAAGGTTTTGTTTTTATTGAATATTGTTTCTCATTTCTTAAGAACTTGATTTTCGTTTTATAGTTTCATTTATTTGGTTTTCTTTCTATTAACAACTATGTTAATCTTTCATTTGATTTTGAATGATCATGTTTGATGTTCTTTTCTTATTTTTAAATAAATTTTACTTATGTTTTGGTTACAAAATAGTTACACATCAGATACTATAAATTCGAATAACCGATTTTACTTATGTTTTGGTTACAAAATAGGTACAAATCAGGTAGTTTTAAACCAAAGTACCGATTGGGACCCGAATCCGAAAGTATAACGGATTATACCGGTTCTTTAAAGATTTACTAACCCCGACCTGAACCCGATAGAACCCGAACCGATCCCGAACCGAACTTTCAAATAATCCGAATGGGGCTGATTTTGATAAACCCGAAAAATCGAAACCCGATTGGACAAAACCGAAACCCGATTGGGACCCCGAATGCCCATGCCTAAGTTGCACAAAAAAGAGATAAAATATCAAGGATTGATAAGAAAATAAGAGAAATATCACTATTTAATATATAGTCACCAGTGGTTTATATGATTCTAGCTTCTAAGGTTTTACGAAAGAAAATGAAATCGGGTATTATAGTTTTGAATGCCGATTAGTGATTATAAATCATGGTAGAATATGTGAGATGTGTAATAATATTATTTTTAACCAAAATTTCATTTGTCATCACATTGTTATCTTTCAATACTATGCCATCAAAATTTTGTTTTTCCATTTTAATGGGTATCTTTCGTCTAAATCTATTTCATATGACCATTCTAAATCTATTTCATATGACCATACTATAGGTATATATATATATATATATATGAAGCTCAATAATTTGTGTGGAAAGATAATCAATATGTCATGATCAGAATTCAACTATGCATATTCTTTTTTTTTTCACACGTATTGGTGTATTTGTTTGTCGTATAAAAACTGGAAATGAAATAGAGTTTACCATCGTCCAGAAAATTATCAATCAACAAATGAAACCCAAAAGAAAAAAAAACTGATCTTTAATATTCTGTAACTCAACTCTAAAGTCAAGAAAATCATCATTACAATTGGGCCTTAACTTTCACACTCCGTACTTTCGAAAATAATATGCCCATTTGACATGGCTTATTACAGTGTTTTAGTGGCGTCGCTGTCGTGTGATTAATTAGGAATCTATTTTGTAGGCAAATCCTTCTTCTTTTTCTTACATACAAATTTACTGTGAATATTCCGACAGAGTCAAAATATTTTGCACTGTAACTATATAGTTTTTTTTAAAACGTAAAAAAGGTATATAGCTATATAAATTCTATGTGTTTCAAAAAAAAAAGCTATATAAATTCTAAAAGTATAGTCTACAGTACCGTATCTAACAGAAAAAGTTGAATGTTAATCATTAAAGTTTGGAGCCCTTTGATTTTCACTTTATATTAGGGATGTCTTATTGGCCAATCAATAAATCTCAAATTTCACTTTCTGACATTCTTTTATGAGCCAAGTTGGCAACTTGCACTCGTGCAGACTTGCAGTACCCACTGATTCGTCCTTGTCTTTAATGGAACGATGACACGAGAAGAAATAGATTGATCCTCACATTTGTGTCCAATTAAAATGAAAAAAAAGATAGTCGGACTGCAGCTTTGTAGTAATTATTACTTATCCATTAATGGGCCTTGTTACATTTAAAGCCAATCCCATTGAATGTAGCTGTGACTGATATAATTTTGATGGGCCTAGTTACCCGAAAAATACTCAATTTTGAGCACCGGGGTATTTTCAATTTTTTTTTTGGTCGGAATTTTTTTTTTTGGTCGGAACGGGGTATTTTCAAGGGGAATTGGATTGTATGACATAGAAAAAAACCATAATTCACTGTCTAGCTATTTTACCTAATATTTCTATACACACTGTTAACTTTATAAATTAATACTATATTACCCCTTGTTGCAACCGGGAAAACCTGAAACCAAAAAATAAATTCTTAATTATTATTCAAAGAAAAAATTGTGTCTCTCGATGTCAAAAAAAAAAAAAATTGTGTCTCCATATCGTCACCTCCCCCCAGATTTACTTTGAAATCGTCGATGATAGAAAAACATGACATGCCGCCGTCTTCAAAAGGTGAAAAAAATATATTATTCTGTCGATGGAGGAGAGGTTTTGTGGAGGAGGAGATTGGTTAGGAGGCTTTGTCGGTGATCGAAAGGAGAAGCTTCTCAAATTCCAAAAGTGACAATCGCGAAGATCCAGAACATGTACGTATCTGGTTTGAAGTAAATCTATGTAAATCTAGATTGAATCAAATATATGTCGTATGTAGGAGAAGATGAACAGTGTTTCATATTATGTTCTATTCTATTATATGCATATGGAATAGAAAGATAATTATCATCATATTCCATTCCATTTGACGGTTACTAAAAGTGTTCATTTTATTCATAAATATAGTTTGTAATTTTCTTAAATTCTAATTGTTGCTATATGTTTTTGAACCTATAAAAATAGTACTATGGTCTATATTGTATAGTTTAATATTTCGTTTTCTGGTTTAACTTTTGGTTCAGGATTAACTTATTAGAGATTAGGGTATAGTGTTTTGTGGTTATGTTGGGTTTAGGGTTAACTTATTCGAGATTAGGGTTTAGTATCCAAATGTGAATTCAGTGGAAATAGATCGACCGATATAGCGTTTAGGGTTTAGGGTTTAGTATCCAAGTAGATTGTTCGCCAAAGGGTTTGAACCCAGTGGAATAGATCGACCGATATAGCAGGAGACATGTACCATACTGGATAATATACTCATTTGTATGGAATAGTTAAAGAATGGAATGGAATTTAATTTTTGTTTAGGGGTTAATCGCCAATGTATTAGGGTTTATATTTTCTTAATTTTTGTTTACTGATTAGCGTCCATACCCTTTCAAATGACAATTTATGGGGTTTATACAAGAGTGGGAGATTAAGGTGAGAAAATGAAAAAGATTATCATAAGGAAGGGGTTAATCGGCAATGGATTGGAGTTTATATTTTCTTAATTTTTGTTTAGTGATTACCTCCTAATTTTTGTTTATGGAATAGGAATATACCGTATGGAATAGATCGACCGATATAGCTGGAGACATGTACCATACTGGATAATATATTCATTTGTATGGAATAGTTAAAGAATGGAATGGAATTTAATTTTGGTTTAGGGGTTAATCGCCAATGTATTAGGGTTTATATTTCTTAATTTTCGTTTAGTGATTAGCGTCCATACCCTTTTAAATGACAATTTATGGGGTTTATACAAAAGTATGAGATTAAGGTGAGAAAATGAAAAAGATTATCATAAGGAAGGGGTTAATCGGCAATGGATTGGGGTTTATATTTTCTTAATTTTTGTTTAGTGATTTATATTTTGATAGCATTTTAACATAAGAAAGAGGTTAATCTGCAATGTACTAGTGTTTATATTTTCTTAATTGTTGTTAGTTATTTTCTTAATTGTCTTTTAAATGGTAATTTATGGGGTTTATACAAAAAAAAAAGTAAATGGGGCACTAAAAGAAAGATATTAATGTGAGAAAAAGAAAAAAGATTAACATAATTCCTAACCCACCTACTAATACTGTATGTCGTAAGCCTACTTAATAGAATAACGGAATGGAACATATGAATATAAAAACGGAATGGAAGGGATGACTTATGTAGAATGGAACAGAATTAGTTACCAATCCCCTTTCGATTTGACATGAAATGGTAATTATACAATTGTACTATTCCACTTCAGATAGTATCAATTGCTTGTCTGTTCCGCTTGGATCTGTTTCCATTTAAATTGTTGACCATTAGGTTATCCCCTTCAACAATGATATTGTAAAGGGAGTTTATAATAAGAATAAATTTAACGTGGCTTTTTTTTCTCCTTACAAAGTGTATAGTTCGTGATAAATATTAGCCATACTTCCCTTTTGACAACGTCATCTTATTATCTCTCCTTCACCTTCTACTTGTACGATAGAGGGTTGAAACCGGATAATTGTGAGCTTAATTGTTACTTTCTTTATTATGTCAAAATCAATGTCATACACTTAATTTCCTCTCCAATCTTAGCTATTTCACAAATTAACCCTATTTTCAAATGACCAAAGTTTAAAAAGTGAAAACATTAAATTTGGAAGTTGATGTAGCTGTGACTGATATAAATCACGATGCCATAACTTGTACTATAGATTGAAAACATATACTGATGAGAAAAATGTAACAACAGAAAATATAGAAATAAATAAATAAAGTTGGAAAAATATTGACAAACTGAAGATGTAAGGAGAACTTATAGATGTCAATGGTCTTCTGTGACTAACTAGGCAACGAAGTTACTGATGGTAGAGGTATTAGTCGTTACTACATAAGGCATGCAGAGTGATGGATTACCATGTGGATGCAAGATATGCTGAAATGAAGAAGGATAAACTAGAGGTTTATGTTTTGATATAGTCGTTGAAGTAGTTGCTGATGCAGCGTGTGCCAGAGAGTGAATTAAGAGGCATGTAGAATGGTAGAGACCATGTGAATGCAAGATGCTGAGCTGGCGTGGGATAAAATTGAGGAGCAAGTTTATCCGTGGAGAAAAGACAAGAGATAAACTTGGAGAGCAAGTTTATGCCTTGAGGTATAAGTACAAATCCAAGAAATGAAAAGTGTATTTTGTTAATATTGAAGTTGTCCATATATCCATGTTGCCTTGGAGACTAGGGTTTCGTGGAGATTACTAGAAAAGAGCTATGGAGTCGTGTGTATTCCATAAGACACTGGGGCTATTATTATAGATGAAGGGTGAAAATCCTTTAGGATATTCTTGGGTCGTGCTGAAACAGATGCTGAAGCATTTGACGATGGAGAGACAAGTTTGGGTAGATTAGGAATCTTTCAGTAGCAGTTGTTAGGGTGTTAACAGACTATGTAAAGCTGATAAGCAAGTCTTGTAATAGATTATGTAAAGATAATTTCTAATAAAGCAAAGTGGTTGATTGTATATATTTTGTCTCTTGATTTATTTTTTGCATTACTGTATTGTGGTGTCATCTTTGCACTTACATAAACTCCCAAAATTTGGAAAAATATTGACAAACTGCCAATTTTGGAAAATACTGGAAAAAAATACTTTTTTAAAAAAGTGTTAAAGACAAGTTGTTTACAATAATTAATATTGTAAAAAAAGGGGGAAAATATTGACAAACTGCCAATAATTAACGCATTTCACGCATTACAAAATACATAATTCATCAGCTTCTAATTGTTTATGAAAATTATCCCACACAGTTGCTATTGAAAAATTGGACAATCAAAAAAGTATTACTAGACTGCAAATGAAGTTTTTTATCATTTGGCTTACAAAATTTAAGATATTCCATAATTCATCTAAAAATACAATAAATTCGTAATACGAGAGTACAAACTAAAATTACAATTTTTTTATTAAAAATATTAAAGTTGTTATCATCAGTTCCTGGCTAACCGAAAATAATTTTACCCTTAAATGCTATCTAACACTTTAACTCCAGTTTCCAATTATCCAGGAGAGAACAAGAGTTAAAAACGAAATATATCAATAATCAAAGGAGCCAATTACAATTCATTAAAAGTCTTTTTTTTTCCAAATGAAATTAAACATAGAGAAAAAAAAAGAAGAATATTCCCCAATTTTTGTCGTATTCTCATTTATTCTTCCTCCACCAAACATATCACATCACCGGAGACTCTCTCCCCTCACCGGCGCTATTCCGTTCCATCCCTTCAGCAACCGACGCAAGTTTCTGCAGGTTCAGCTTCACCACAGTATCAGCAAACAAACGCGTATCCTCCTCCGAGTTCCCTTCCGGCACATCAACAACGTAAGACTCCAACACAACGCTCCAAACCCTCCCTTCTCTCTCGAACCCGTGAACCGTCGTCACCGACTTGTAGTTCCTCAGCCTGTGCTCCCCTCCGGTGATGCTAAACCCCGTCACCTTCCGACCGTCGTCGAGGAGGTCGAGCCTCTCCCTCGACGTGTTCGCGGGAAGGCCGCTGATCACGTCCACGTAGCGCGTGGACCCCACGCGCATCTCGAAGCCTTCGTCGACGGAGCAGCTTTTGATGAAGTGTTTGTATGTCTGAGGCTTGTCGAAGCGTCTCACGACGGACCAGACGGTCTCCGGCGGGGATTTGATGCGTTGGGCGAGGAGGGAGGAGCAGCGGCCCGGACCGAGTTGGTAGGTGTGGAACTCGGTGATTGAGTTGGTTAACTCGGCGAACTCGTCTTGAGTCAACTCGGAAGGGATCATTTGGTGGTGGAGAGTTTGGGTGGTTGGTTGTTGCTCTGCGTTGATTGGCTGTGAATCCATCATTGATTTTGTAACTGAAATCTAAAACCGGACATAAGTTGAATCAGACAGGAGTTGAGTTTTGGTCGGTACAGAGTATGTATGTGTGACAAGTCGTAACCATAAGTCTTTTAATGTTACAAATTATAACCATAACGTTAGGTAAAAGTTATAACCGAAATATATGAAAAGATCGATTAAACTGACCTCAGCTAAAGCTAAACAATCAGCTTAACGAGACATTCCACTTAAGCCAGGGGATGTATGATCTTCTCACACAGATGCGGAATTCGAAGAATCACTAATATTTATCTACTTTCATCTGAAGTGAAGAAATTGAACAAGATCTAGAACTTTCTTGAGAGATTTGGTTGCAAGAAAATAAGATTCGAAAATATGCAGAGGAAGAAAGAAGAATAAGATGAGAGGAGGAAGAATAAGAAAGAGAAAGATAGACAGAATAAGTGGATGAGTAAAATAAAGTTTGTTGTTGATTGATCAGTGGGAATGGCCAAAGGCCTTATTGATCACACAAATACATGACTAAACGAGCGTACGAGACCAACTGAACCAAACAACTGGGCCAGATTAATAAATATATTGACCAGAAAAACAAACCAAAATAAGTGAAATAAACAATGATTACATATCCCTATATATATTATAAACAATGGATACATGTTTATGTCACATAGACTCTTAAACATGAATACATATTAAAATATAGCATTAGATAATCTTAAAACTATTCGACAAATACATTTTTAGTGTTGTTTTAATAATTACTAGATCCAATTCAATTATAGAAATCAAACTTAACACTAGGTCTGGGCATTCGGGTATCCGTTCGGGTACGGGTCGGTTCTTACGGGTATCGAATTTTTCGGGTTTTGAATTTAAGACCCATTCGGGTATTATAAATTTACGGGTCGGGTTTGAGTCGGGTCCTCCCGGGTCCGGGTGGGTTCGGATCTGATGCAAAAGACCCTGAAAATAACCAAATAACCAAAGTATCTGAAACGGGTTCGGTTATTTGTACCCAAAGTAACCATATTATCCGATATGATTTGGATATTTTGTATCCAAACTAGTTATTTTACCTAGATATAACCAAAAATACTCGTTAGAGACAATTTTGTTTGGATATTTTATATCAAAAAATATAATATTTTATCTAAAAATATTCAAAATAACTAACAAATTTAATTTATAATTTTAATTTTAAATTATTAAAATAATTATAAGTATAATTATAAATAATTTTTCATATACATATTTACATTTCGGATATTTCGGGTACTCATTCGGTTCTCGATTCGGGTCGGGTTCGATATCGGTTCTTCGGATATAGCAATTTATGATCCATTCGATTATTTAGCCCGGATCCGATCGGGTTCGGGACCCTGATTTTTGGGTCGGTTGTTCGGGTCTGGATATTTTGCCCAGCCCTACTTAACACAATTCCAAACACACTATAACACCCATTAACCATCGTTATCTAGGCGTCTTGTGAACATAAATGGGATGTCTATTGTATGATATATACTTACATTGACACTTAATCACATGTTATGGTTTTGGTGATTCCATCAAAAAAATTTTAACCACAAAAAAACTTCTCTAATCTCCAAAAAAATGGATCAAATATTAGTTGGTATTTTTATTTAAAAAAATGCTTATTGTTATTCCTCATAAATCTGTTATTTTGGTTTGTTATGATTACCTCAAAGTTAGAAGCACATTTCCATTTTCTTGATTTTATTTATGATCGATCATATTTGCTAAATAAGAACATTTTCTCTATTTCATTTTAATTGTCGTTTTACATCTATTTTTATAGATTAAAAAATATTTAATTGTATATTTTTCTAAATAAAATTATTATTAACGATGTACTTATTATATTTCAACCAATAAAAAAATAAATTAAATAATATAAAAGTTTATATCATATAAAATTAATAAATTTTTATATTGAAATTCTAAACACATTTATTTATAAAGAAAATGTTATTTATAAAGAAAATGTTACTCTAATTAAACTGAAACGGAAAAAAATAATATGTTAAGCAAGACGTGATCAGTTCTAAGTTTGATGGATAATATATTACTGATTTTTTAGAAGGAAAACTTAGGTTTAAATGAAATCTGAAATACTGCATAGTCCAAACAATAATTTCTTTAGCAACCAAATATGTTAAATCGAGACCATTTCTTTGGAGATTTTGTCTTCTTTTTGTTTGGTTTGCAAGTGTCATTAGCATCCTTCTCCTTCTCCTTCTTCTTCTCTGTTTGAGGTGAAAATGGTTTGAACAATGTAAAGAGAGATGAGGGCGAACAAAGACGTTTTATTAGATCTAAACGAAGTGTTTACAAAGAGAAGAGTACAAGGGCGGACTAGCCGGAAATACGATTCAGCGGGTAAACGGAAGGTGACTAAACCGTCAAGTGAGTAAACAGGGTAAGCGGCTAAGTAGGATGATGAGTNCCTTGTTGGGCTTAAATCTTGTTAGGCCTGTTTAGTAGCCCCCTTTAACTTGTACTTTAGCCGACTCTCCCAGTCGCGCTGCTAAACGCGCTTCGTGTGGAGTCGTTTTGACAGTCCCTTTGGGCCGAATATACTATCGCGTTGGGCTGGATTCCTCCACTTGATGGGCCTTGTGAGGGGGTATATCCCATTCCCTACAATAAGTCCCCCCCAGTTCGCTTATGTGTTCGAAGAGCTCTGAGCGAATTTGTGGTCAGGTTTGATCAAATGGGAATCTAGCGCTGATGCGCGTTTAGGCCAAGCACAATGACGTGTCGAGTCTTGCGACTAGAAAGTCGGTCACGAACGTACCTAGGCGACGCCTCGACCATGTCTAGTCGCGCGACTAATGCATCGATCTTGAGCTCGTTTAGGCGACACCTTGGACGAGTTTAGTCGTGCGACTAGAACGTTGGTCGAAGCATACCTAGGCGACTCCCCGGACGAGTTTAGTCGCGCGACTAGGACGTTGGTCACAAGCGTGTTTAGGCGACACCTTGGACGTGTCTAGTCGCGCGACTAGAACGTTGACCAAGAACTCGTTTAGGCAACACCTTGGACGTGTCTAGTCGCGCGACTAGAACGTCGCCTATCGTCGCATAAACTTGTCAGCTTGATCCCGTCTACTAACACGACTAATACTGTAACTGTGAGCGGATTTAGGCGACACCTTGGGCGTGTTTAGTCGCGCGACTAGACCAAACGAAGGTACCAGCGCGTTTAGCTGACACCTTGGACATGTCTAGTCGCGCGGCTAGAACTTCTTTATTTGTCGTGTGAATGCGTCATCTTGAGCTTATTTAGTGGCATGACTAATAAATCCCTCCAGTCTATTTTATGTAGTTAGACGACGTCTGGAGCGTGTCCGCGATCGATACGTATTGCTCGTAGAGTAACACTTAGCTTGAGTAGATTATCCAAGTTGAGACGTACGTTTTTGCTTCTAACCGTCTTCCGGTTCAGTCTCAGCCGCTGCTTGGTTTAGCTCCGGTTGAATCTCGGTTTGAGTAAACCGATTTTAAGGGTCTAACCAGACCGAATTAGATTAAGGATTAATGGATTTCGGATAATCTCCTGGTTTCTGCGGTTAGTGGGCTTATTTAGGCCCATTTAAGTGCATTAATTGCACTTAGAGAATCGTGCCTTAAACTTTGCTATAAATAGGTAGATTCTCTTCTCATTCCACCATTCTCCTCTGCAAACTCAGGTACCTTCTTCTCTCCCTTCTCTCTACTTTTAGCTTTCTCTCTCTAAGTATTCTGTTTCGGTTATGGCCTCGTCGGGGCGTTTATCTCGTGAGGAGAAAGGCAAAGGGGTTGCCTGTTCCGACGACGTTACAGCGAATGGAAGTCCGATTGAGGACTTCAATTTAATTCACCGCGATGCGCTACCCGGGGGGAGGCTTGAGCCGCGTAACGATTCAGCCGTCGGATCGGAGGATGAGGAGGACGGTTCAGGTCGCTCGGGAAGCGAATCCGAGCGAGAGGATGGCGGTTCTAATCACTCGGGTAACGGATCCGATCAGGAGGATGCTGGGAGTTCTGGTTCTGATGAGTGTGATGAGGACACGGCGTCTCCGGATCAGAGTCCTCGAACTCTGTGGTTAAGACATCGGATCGTTAGATTCGATTTGATCGAATGCAAGCCGACTGTTTTCCGCCTTGACGGCACCTTCGAGGAATTGAGCGCTCTTCCTCCGGAGTCGGCGCGGGATCCTTGGGCGGAAGGTCAGCGTTGGGAGAACGTCTTCGGAACTCGATCTAATCACTCGACTGTGAGAAGCATTCTACAATCCTCCAGAGGAGCCGGCGTGACTTACGCGATTCCTACCCAGGAACAGAGGCCTTGGTCTCCTCCGGTCGGCTTCCAATGTATATACGAGTCGTATTTCGAGGATGATTCGAAGCTCTGGTTTCCGATCCCGCGTTTGATATCGGCGTATGCGAGGAGGCGGGGAGTAGCGATCAGCCAGTTGAAGATAGGCTCAATTCGGAACGCTGTTATGCTGATGGTGATGGCAGCGGAGATAGACGTTCCCATGAGTGTGAGGGTCTTCGAAGAGTTGACTGCGACGAAGGCGGAACGGGGAGGTTTGTTCTCCGTGAAGATGCGTCCGAGTTATAACGTTTTAACCGGCCAGCCTCGTAAGACAAAGAACTGGCAGCGCTCATACTTCTATGTCAAGGCCGATAAGTATGCGTTTGCTGAGGCTATTGAAGATGACTTCCCGGTGTTATGGGACAAAGAAATTGGTAGAGAACGCGCACCGTGCTGTTTATTACGTTCGTCGGTTTTCTAACCTTCCCTTTTTCTTTTGCAGTTCGTCATCCGAATACGATCGCTTACCCGGAGAATTTCTTCGAGATCGCACAAGCCATTGCAACTCAAAGTCATCTGAATTGGCCGGATCTGAGTCGTGAGTGGATTCGTCGACAACAAGCTCGCATAGAGAGAGGTAAAGGTTTCCTTTTGTAAGTTCAACCTTAGGTCCCAGCTAATAGACTGACAGTTGTCTTTTTTTTTTTTCTCTCTGTTTTCACAGTTGATTGGGAATCGAGGCAACCGTTGATAATCTCGGCACGAAAGTCTCGATTGTCCTTGTTTACCCGGAAACAACAGAAACTCCTCAAGCAAGCGAGGGAGATGTCAGGAAGGCCGGACTTAAGTGCTTTGCTTAAGGGGAAACTCCAGTTGCTGAAGAAGACGACTTCTAGGGTCATTCCGGCTGGCGATGACAACGTTGAAGTTACTCCACGATCCGATCCAAGTCAAAACGTCCCGTCTGAAGTCGATCCTCCGGCTCAAGAAGAGAAGAAGAAGAAGAAGAAGAAGCGGAAGAGCCCCGTGACGAAGGAAATAGGGTCGTCGGCTGAGGTTAATCCTTCCGAAGGGCATGCTGGCAGTCTGGAGACAGGGGAGAGGGAGGGAGAACCGCGTGACGGTTCTGCTGATGGCGATCCTAAGGAGAAGGGTCCGGAGGGAGGTCCGAAGAAAAAGAAGAGAAAGATTGCT